GTCTTTATGAGACAGGGTCTCCCTGTAGCCCCAGCTGTCCTGGAACTCACTATGTAGACCAGGCTGGCCTTGAACTCATAGACATCCGCCTGCCTCTGCCTCTGGAGTGCTGGGATTAAAGGCATGTGCCACCACACCTGGCCACAAGAGCTTTTTAAAAAATTTTATTACTTTTATTTTATGTGTATGCGTGTATTGCCTGCATGTAGGTAAGTGTGCCTGTGTGATGCAGTGCTCGCAGAGGACAGAAGAGGCTGTCGGATCCCCTGGAACTGGAGTTACAGACAGTTGCTAGCTGCCATGTGGGTGCTGGGATTCGAACCCCGGTCTTCTGAAAGAAGAGTCAGTGTTCTTAACCACTGAGCCATCTCTCCAGCCCCATAAGAGCTTTTAAAGGGGGTGGGGGAGGAGCTCTAGCATCCATGAATAGATAAATGCAGTCCATTCACAGGAAGGAATATTACAATATTGTTCAGACTTTAAAAGGGTGTTTTCACTTTCATGTGCTTGTGTGTTAAAATACACACCTAGTGTAAAATTTACCATTGCAACAATTTCTAAGGGCATGAGCCAGTGCATTATAAGAATATTCAGGAGCTGGGCGTGGTGGCACACACCTGTAATCCCAGCATTTGGGAGGCAGGGGCAAGAGGATCAGGAACTCAAGCTCACCTTCGGTTGCACAGTGAATTCAAGGCCAGTCTGAGCTACAAGAGACCCTGTCACACACACAAAAAAAGGGCAGAAAACGCTGACAACATACTGCAATACTGAATGGAAGACACGCCTCGTGAAACAAGCTGAACAAAGGACAGAGACTGTTTGATTTCATATGTGAGGCTACGTTCATAAATGCAGAAAGTAGAAAAGGTGGGTGTTAGGCTGTGGAGAGGGATGGAGGGGAGTCAATAATGGAGACAGAGCCTCAGGTGTGGGAGATAGAAAAGTTCCAGGGATGATGGGATATGAATATCGTTAATGCACTGGGCTGTGCGCTTAGAAATGGTTAAAATAGTAAATTTTGTTATGTGTATTTTAACACACACCTTGAAGTGTAAAGAACTCATGGAGTTTAGAAGATAGCTCCCCCACTCGGAGGCCACCTGGAGAGCCAGGACCAAAGTCACCACCCTGCGTCTCAGAACACACATTAGCAGAGGTGTTCAGAGGCCAGCATCTTCACCTGAGATGCTGTCCAAGGACCCTGTGTGTGGGAGGGGCTGAAATGTTAGATCTCTTCAGTCCTGTGGTGCTCTGCTCACCAGCTCATCTGCCCTGGTTTTGGTGTTGTCCTGTACCCTGGGGTGGAAGCAATGAGCCTTGAGCTTGGGGTCAGGGCTCTCGGCATCTGGGCTGGCTTAGTACAGATGCCAGTACCTCAGATCCCTAGTACATTATGCCCTGTGTGGGCATCTGAGGTCTGTTGTGGGGGGGTCCTGATCTAGTGTACTGGGTACACTCTGAGGCAGGGTGGTCAGATGGTTAAGGTGAGAGCTAGGATTACTGGTCAGCCCTGCTCTGTTCCTAGATAGTGACCTCAACTCTTCCCCTCATGCCCTTGGACAGGCCACCCAGCTACCTATGCCTTAGTTTACCCATCTAGATAATGATGTCTTGAAGTGGCTGTGCCCTATGGGGAAAGCTTAAGATAGTGGCTGAGCACACACGTGCACCTCAGAGTCAGACAGGGCAGATGATCTGCATGCACCATAAACTCCACCAGACCTCTAAGTTACCACATTTCCCATGTGAATTTCCTTCAAGCTCTCATCAGGGTATAAATGACAATATAAACCACAGAATCACTCACTCTACCAGCCTCTCTTTTGGGTCATCAAAGCCAGGTGGGAAAGGGAGCTAATGGTGTTCCCCTTGTCCTTGGGTTCTGATGCTCCTTGATAGACAGACATGCACTGGGTTCCTGACTTAGATGTCCTTGCCCTGAGAAGCACATAGGAATGCAGAGCTTTTGCAGCCAAGTGGGGGAACATACTTTGGTGCTGTGGTCTGGATCTGGTTTGCAGGCTCATGCACTGGAATTTCATACCCCTGTCAAGGGGTATGAAGTGTGTGGAACCTAGTCTGACCAGGCTTGGGAAGTGGCTGGGTCCCATAAGTAGCCCCACTAGGAGCTGCCTACCTCAGAAGGAGAAGACAGTCCAGCCTCAGGATGCACCTGGTCACCAGTGTGTGGGCTGAATGGGGGCTGAGGAAGCTGGTGTTTTCTAGAGTGTCTAGAGGTGAACATGCATGTCCAGAGAAACTATGGGAGTGGAGCTCTGGTCTAGGAAACCATGCCCGGGGAAGTCATCCAGCACCCCTCTCCCAAGCTGCATTCGCAGCTCCCTTCAAGAACAGGGAGCCGAGAAGCACTGTAATTATTGGTCAAGAGTAAAGACAATGCAGGTCCTGTGTTAGCCAAGCATCAAGACTAAGGAGAAGCAGCATAACTGGGCTCTGCTGAACATCTTCCGCCCCTTCCTCCCTTACACACCTTCTCTGTGGCTGCACTTCCCAGCTGTCCAGATCCTTTTGGAATCCCCTCTTTGCTCCCAGGTGTCTGGCCTTCATGGTCTGAATCTTCAGGGTCTACAGGGGAGGGTAAAAGTGTGCCTTCTACAGGTCCCTGGTTAGAAGATGAGGCCTCCAGTTGACCTGAGGCTCCCGGGCTCCTGTGTGGGTTGCGGCCTGCACCTGGCAGCCTATCCAGCTGGAGTCCAGGCTCCTGCTCAGGCCACAGTCTGCTTTTGGGCTGTGCCTTGAAGCCAGAAAGGCCATTTTTCCCCTCCAGGAAGAACTTCATGGGGTCTTGGGGGAAGAATTCAGATACGGTCAGCTGGTTTCTTGAGCTGGTCAGTGATAGGCAGAGAGTGCTGGTTTCAGGGCCTTCTGGCAGCAGCCTGGGAAATGTCTGTGCCTTCCTCAGCCGACTTCGCTTGAGGATGTCTCTGTCCAGCTCACCCAGAGGGCACCTGGCATCCAGGACGAGGTTGGTCAGCCCTTCCTGGCCCGGGCTCTCACCATTTCTCATGGGTGTTGACAGCAGTGGCTTGGAGGGCAGGGGTTTAGAACCCCATCCAGACTCCTGCTCTGCGTCTCCAGAGGCAAGAGACTGGAGCAGACTCTCTGGGGTAGGTGGTGCCTCTGGGTCAGTGCTGAGGTCTCCAGGAATCTTCTTAGGCCCTATATTTCTTGGAGCAGGTCTCCCTCTCCAGGTGTTCTCACTGAAGTCTAGGCATAAGGCAGGACATGGTTACTGTGGAGAGACTTTGATCAGGGGTCTGTGTTGGGATGGTGCTCTAAGGGTCACCTCTGACCCTGCACCACTCATTATCACAGACCCATCCCCAAGGTCTCAGGACAGGGACTCCTGTTCTGAACTCCCTCTGCTCAGTGCAGGACACAGAGGCCTACAGGCTCTGTAGTCACATAACCCAGCTAATTAGTGTCTGCACAGAGGCTTCTGGGCCTCCCTCTTGGCTGAGCTTCCCATGGGGTCAGTCCTTGCCTGTCTAATTACCTTGCCCCAAGGCTCCTCGTTTTTCTATTATGATTATGCAAGTCACTCTGCTGCCTGTTTCATTCAGTACTTTGCCCATGTTTCTGCACTCAGAAGTTACTTTCTGCTATTTCTGGGGTGATGCTGGTGGTCACCAGGGCTATAGCACTGCAAACACTATTGCTTGTCAGGGAGGATTCTCCAGTCACCTTGAGGCTCTGGGTGGCTGTGGAGACCAGCATAGTCCTGAGACTAATCTAGAGTCCTGTGTGAGCTGGGAGGTCCCAGATGTATACAGTAGCTTTGCATGTGGATAGAAGAGTGAACCAGACCTCTGTGGCATGGGCCAGTGGGAGTGAACAGTGACGGGTCATACCTGTCTGCTGGAAAGCTTAGGAGACAAACACTAGTCCAAGTCTCCAAGTCCTTTCTGAGCTGGAACTTGGCCCTGTCTCTCACTGCAAGCTATCTACAAGGCTGGCTGGGGTCACTGAACCTAATTGTGCAAATGCCAGTGTGTGCCCAGCATGCACATATGTACATGCATGTGGTGTACACTTGACTGTGGCTGCATAAACAAGTGTGCCTGCTTATAGAGGTGCATGTAGTACAAACAGGCATTTATGTGCTATATACAATGGTGTGAGCACAAGAGTATAAGTATATGGAATACACATGTGCTAGATTTGAACATGTGTATGACTATTGTATTTATAGGGTGTGTAAATATGTATGAACACATGTAAGGGTATATGTATTCATATGGGCATCCTGTGGGCATGCTTCTTTGGGTAAATATGTAGGTGTATATATGCCTCCGTGTGCATTCTGGTCATGTTTCATGGCTCTGTGTACATGTGTGAATGTGCATGTGTATGTATGAGCATGCACATGTGCAGGCACACACATGTGGGTGCTGGTGCTTACCCTGGAATGCTCCGAAGGACTCGATGGAGAGCACCCTTCTCCCAATGGCAGAGAGACTGCGGCACAGGCGACATGAGGATGCAGGCTGCATCTTCTCCTCACACAATGCTATGATGCTCTGCAGGCACCAGGGTGCTTCTCAGATGTGCAGTTTACCAGGGAGGAGGCCCACCCTCCTGAGGCCCACCCAACTGTACAGCACTGGGGTGGGACCCATTATCCCCATATCAGGCCACATGCTCCCACATGTACATTCTTATAGTAAAAAAGCAAGGCATGCTTCCTGGAATTTCAGAAAAATAAAATTCTGTTTCGTCCTTGATAATTGTAAACCAAAACTTTCATCACAAAAATGTATAGCAAAAACCAAGCCTCTCTTTCAGCAGAATGTAATGGCCCCCAACTCTAGCCAAGGAACCCAGTGAGGTTGTAGGATGAGTGTTCTGTGTGCGTGTGTGTGTGTGTGTGTGTGTGTGTGTGTGTGTGTGCATGCA